AATGAAGAGAAGGAAGCCCTTCATCCAGAAGGAGAAGAAGAAATAAAACAATAAGGAAGGAGGGGACGGAGAAGCTCACATGTCCCGGGTGAGGTTCGACCTTAGAGCTCAGAACTTATCATAGAACCAGTCCAAGGGAATAGTGACCAATCAGAGGGGATCTCAAGGCACCAAGATCTGCAGCCTTTACAAGCCATGGAAACAGGGACTCGGTGGGATGCTTTCCCCCTCCCCACATGGGAGTCTGTACTTGTTCTTCAATAAATCTCTATTTTTGCTATACCACCTTCTGTCCATGGATTCATTCTTTGACTCTGATGGACAAAGAATCAAGGAACACCGCATGTTCCAGTCCCAAAATCACATATCACCACCATGGGGATCCTGGGTGCTGGGTGCTGATGTGGGGAGCAGGCACCATGAGGTCTGACATCTTCTTACTCAGCACGTTTCTTGGATTCTGCTCTGTATCCATGCTCTGGAGCTGCTCTCGCTTTGGCCAGTGATGGAATCAGGATCTTGATGATAACTGGGGTTGGCATGGTGCTCCTAAGAGGAGAGACCTGGAAAATATCTGCCTGAATCCTTGGCCAGCTCATGGTCCTAGAGTTCCATCTAGCTTTGCTCTGAGGCTAGGGAGGGAACCTGGCCTAGGTGGGTGTGTGCAGTAAGGATGAGGAAACAGGACAAGAGTCCACAGGTTGATCCTGTGCTTGCAGGGAAAGGAGACTGGTTCTGAAGTAATGTCATTAGAAATCGCCAAGAAGATCATGGGGCTGCCGGGAGGCTGACCTCTACTCTCCAGGACAGGGCTGGCAGCAGCAGGAAGCAGGGTGCAGAAAAGTGCCTTCAGCAATATCTACCCTGGCTGCTGCTGCTTCCTCCTCTGAAGGCCACATGCTCGTGGTCCTGGCCACAGTTTGCTCCTCTCACAGCCTTGCTCCGGAGCCCTGCCCGCTATCCACCTGTGATCGCGATGCACGCTGAATGCTGTGAGGGCTCCATTAACCTGGCAGTTATACGCCTTAGATATTTTTTAAAAAAACTAAGATCAAAGCACTTTTAAGTTTGATTCTCGTGTGTACATGTTTTCCTGAGTGGAATTAACTACAGGTTCTTAGGGGGGATGAAGGGGGCAGAGAGATAGGTTTTTGACATAGCAGGGCTGAGGACACAGCCTGGGGCCACAGTGAAGACACTGGTCAGAGCTGCCACTGGGCCTCTCAGTGCAAGGCCTGGTTCCGTCGCCCCAAATGCATATAATTAGAAGTTTTAGTATTAGTTTTAAATTAATTGGGAAGGATTCACATTTTGGATCAACTCTGCATTGCCTAAGGGAGAATCGAACACACACCCATGCTTCCAATCCTCTGTTAATTGGGATTTCCCTAAATACAGCACACAGTCAGCAGTGGGGAAGAAGCAAGAGAGAGAGAAAGGGTGTCGGGTGTCAGAGAGAGGGTGTCGGAGGGAAGCTGGTTTCCTGCGCCCAGTCATTCCAAAGATATCACAAGCAGCAAATTAAACGATCCTTCAGCAAGAATTTTGACAGGAAAATTTCATTAGGGATTTAAATCTCTATGGAAGCTCAAGTTGCTGCATTAAGATATGAAAATTGTGCAAATATTGTTCCTTAGACTGATGTTGCTGCAGGTCATTGAGTCTCAGTCAATGAAATTTAGAGTGATAAATGCCATATTGAAAACAACTAGAGGAAGGAGGGGGCGAGGGAAGGAAGAAAAGAGGCCTGCGTTGGGAGCTCAGGCCCTCGAGTTATTTGGATTGGAAGGTAGACTCCAGCATTAACCAGCTGTGTAACCTTGGGCAAGTCTGTTTAACATCTCTGAGGCCTAATTTCCTCATTTATAAAATGTGAACTATTGCCAGAAACTCTCTGCCAGACCATGATTGTGAGGGTTTTAATGAGATAATCCAGGTAAAGTTCTCTAGCACAGTGCCTGGCACTTGTAAATCCTAAACATACTAGTCCTATATAATAAAGATGTAATATGCAAATGGATGTTACACTGTGAAGCATGATGACTGACAGTGTAACGACCAGATCATGGATCAGCAGGAGGTTGGGGCAGCGAGCTACAAGCTGGCAGTGGAGAGCTACAGGAGGGGGCAGGGCAGCAAGCTATTAAAGGGGGAAGGGTAGCTACAGGAGGGCAGGGCAGAGGGTGGAGAGCTACTGGAGGGCAGCAGCAAGCTACTGGCGAGCTACTGGCACATGGATTTGTGCGCAGGGCTACTAGTATGACTATAATACAGAAAGTGGGCTAATGTTTATCTGGCACTGACTTCTTCACAGTCTCAGTGATATCAACCTACCAGTGCCATTATTACTATTTTTAATGTTTATTTATTGATTTTAGAGAGAAAGAGAGAGAGAGCAGCATTGATTTGGTGTTACCCTTATTTAGGCATTCATTGGCTGATTCTTGTATGTGTCCCTGACCAGGGATTGAATGGAAACCTTGGCAAATCGGGAAGACACTAGGACTAACTGAGCTACTTGGTCCAGCCAAGGGGGTCTTGGAGCCTGAATCCTGTTTGTACACCTTTGTACTAACAGAATCTGACTGATTAGATGGCTGTTGGTGGATGTTTAGAAAATATTTGTGAAATGAATTAATAATTGCATAAATAAATGGAAGATGCATGAATGAATGGAAGGTATAATGTTTTTCTCAATTAAACTGTGCCTCAAATATTCATCCACAGGTTTCTCAATGTTCGTTTGTTTATATTTTGTTTCAAGGCATTCTCACAGTTTTATTCCCATTATCATGTGCCATTTTATAGAAAACAGAAGAAAAGAGAAAAAAATTCCATATACTTACATAGTCCAAACACTTAAAGTCCCCCTTTTGCATTTTAGGGTATGTGTGTTTTCATCATTTTACCAAAGGATGTTCCTGCTGCAATCTTATATGAAAATAATTTCCATCTTGCTGTTTCACTTAGTAAGATTATTTCATATGCTATTATTTTAATGATAATTTAATAGAACATGATAGATGTGCCATATTATGTTTTACTTAAATATACTCTTGCTGATTTTTAGACAGTGCCCATTGTTTCACTATTATGAATATTGTTGCACTACTTATTTTCATGTATATATGACCTAGGTTTTCAGGGTCACTGTCTGTACTTGGATCGCTTTTCTTTGATGAGCATACAGTCTTTACAAGGGACCTCACCTTCAACCACTGTAGTGATGCACTATGATATCCAATTGGATGGCAAGAGTTTAATGATTGTTTAAAAGGGATTATGTTCACCATTTTATACTACATTCAAACCCTTTTCCAGAACACTGTACTTGATAGATATTCCACAGCTATATATGAAAAGAACAAGAAAAGGAAGAAGAGGAAGGGAAAAGGAAGAAAGGGAGAGATGGGGGAGAGAAGGAAGGTAGAGGGGAAAGCGAATAATGAAGAAAGAGAAGGAAGTAAAGGGAAAACAGAAGGGAAGGAAAAATGAGGGGAGAGAAAGAAGAAAGGGAAGAAAGCATAACAAAGAAGGGAACTGGGTAAATCAGAGAGAATGACAAAGAAAAGAAAGAAAAAGATAAAGAAAGAATCAGAAAGCTCATTCTTCTGTGTAAACTTGCTAATAATTCCAAATTCATGTCTCTATCCACAACCATACTTTCCAGGCATCAGCTTAGCATGTGACCAAATCACAGGAGAAAAAAAGATACAACATACTCTAGTATCTGCCCCTATCTGGGCAATTCCTAGACAGCAGGGCCTCGCATTTCACAGTCCATGGCTTGCTTTGTTGCTAGGTTTTAGGCAACCTTCTTCACCCCCACCCCCCAACTTTCTCAAGGAGAGCTAAATTAATGAAGAAGAATAGTAGATACTGTATGGTGACTTACCTTACCAAGGTAAAACACAGTCAAATTAAATTAAAGAAAAATTTCCCCTTTAAAAATTTTTACATTTTCTTGATGAAACACAGCTAGAAATTCAGGGGCAAAACGAAAATATGCATTTTGAAAAGATGTTAAAAGATGGTTAGACACATTCATTGTGCAGCAACATGCACACTAGCAGATAGGGCGACCTCTGTCTGTTGTCAATACGCAATGCTTCGCTCAAGTTTATGTTATGCATGATTGGTAATCAGAAAACCGTAACATTGCCTTTACGATTGGAAATGCCTGTCATTATCTTCACTGAACTAAATTGCTGATTGAATAAAAGTTCTCTTGCCTTAGAAGTGACTCAGTTATAGCAGTCATTGCAACATCAGAAGATTATTTACACATAGAGTAAAAATTCCACATTTGGCTAGAATTGGGCATAATGGTACAGAACATTACTTTTAACTTCATGTAGGAAAATAAACCAATGGCTCGCAATATTTCTACTTTTAACTTCACATAGAAAAAGAAACTCATGACTAGACATATTTCTTAGTGGGAAATTGTCTTCATTCATTCATGAAAAAATATTAGTAGTAATCACTGATATGCAAATAGCGTTGCTAAAAATGGGGTTTCTCTGTTTGAAAACTTGTTATATAATTTGATATGCATATTTCCATATTTCAATAAGTCAGATAAAAGGTTAACAGATTTAATATTATCACAAATTACTAGCCAGAGTTCGGTACTTTAGCTTCTACAAATTCTTTTGGATAAATAATAAGTGCTTTTCCTTTTCTATATCCTTGCTTTCCTAATGGGGTGATAGTGGATGGCAGAAACTGAAAACCAAGGCAGCCAGCTTCCATGAAGTCCCCAGGGGCGGTTAGTTGGCAGTGGAGTTGAATGTAAAGACCAGGCCCCATCCAGAAGACGCGGACCTAGACCTGGTTAGTTCTGAGCAAGCTTTGAACATTAACCCTGTCATCAGCACCCACCCTGGCAGCTTGCAGCGTCACACGAATGCAACGCAGCCTTCAGCTGAGTTAGCAACCATTGCTCAGAGTCCGGGCTGCCTACATATTGTGTGAGAGAAGAAAAATGCTTGACCTACTTGGATCCGATAAGATGGAGTCAGTTTTCGGCAGAAATTGATCACAACGGACTCCTTGATAGCCTTCTTTGCACCTGAGAAAAGGGGATAAATAATAAACATATGCATGTGGCTGTGAAAGTTTCAAAATTTCAACAAGCAAAATAGCCACTAATTACATAAAATAGATAAATGTGAGAATAGAACATTCATGCTTTTGTATAATTTGATTTAGTATGTCTGTAACATCAACAGGCAGATTTTAGTCTATTTCTGTGCAAAAAACAAACAAAAATTCCCAGCGTGTCTTTGCTTTCATAATTTTATATATAATACCTACTGCACAAATTGAATACTTTTTAAGATGACCCTCATAGCAATCTCAGCAGTGGTAGCCCTCATGTCAGAGTACTGGACGCAGGCATGCTTTTCTCTATGCAACATACTGTCTCTAAGAGGCTGCGGTGCCCTTTCAGAAGCATCGCTTTCCAAGTGTCATTTTTCTAATAAAAAAACATTTTCTCATGTAATTTTCAATATTATCAATAGGTTTTGGCGACTGTTTAATTTTCTTGTGTTTTATTAGTTCCTTTGCGAATTTTTAACTTTTTTTTTAAGTTAGCTATGCTTCAAGTCCCTGTGGCCTGATTGGCCAGCGCAACATCTTTCACATCTGCCAAGATCTCTATGTGCAAGGTCTCTGTGAATTTTCCGTAAATGCCCATTTTTCTCTCCTCATTTTCTCTTTTGAGTTCAGCAAACTTGTGCAAAGTGCCTGCTTTCTGCCAGGCATTGCACAAGGCACCTTTCCTGAGATGGGCGGGATTTGGAGGGGAGGAATTTGCCTGCAAGCACCAGCAATGAGCATCCCTCTGCCCTGCTGGTCCTCGGTGAGTCTTCACACCACTCCCTCCAGCAGGGCTGCTGGCTGCCTTGGACAGCATCAGCTCATCAGCATCAGCTCATCAGCAGCAGGTCAAAGAACAAGTACAGTTCAGGTGGGCCCCAAACCCCTGCTTTGGAACAGTATCCATAGGCGGATGTGGCCTTTAGTAATGGACTTGAAACTTAACCTGTCATGCCCCAGGTAAGCAGGGAGTCACCCATTGTTGCTGATGAATGAATGTCTCCTATAGACAGAGGAGGAAATTGTGCTGTGGGCATAAAAATCAGACTTACCAGAACAATCCTCTGCTTGTTAGAAATCTATTGAATAGATTTGACAAAAGAATGGAAAGGGACCGACCATTCTGTCTCAGGTGGGACTGTGAATTCTTTCTCTAGAATATGCTTCGTTTTCGTTGTAATAAACTATTAGATGAAATCTATTGCAACTGCAGCAGCAACACTGAAAGGCACCTGGTCATTTTTCTACCTCTCACAGTGGGTCACATCAGAATTCAGGTGATGGGCAGGCTCTCTTTAGCACCCTTTTAAGCCTGGTGCCCAGAGTGTAGTTGGCTGTTTTCCTTGTACACTGAGAACAAAGACTTCTGATATAAGAACACCCTTGACACTCAATAGGCTATTGAAAAAAAGTTGCTTAAGCAGCCACATATTTTCATAACCTCTTTAAAAATTCATTCATTGCCCTTGAAATAAAGTAGGCGTGTCACTGGGTTTGCAATGGTAAAAAGTCAGAAAATACTTAGGACTGGAGCAATTTCTGATGAAAAAATAAATACATTTCTGTTCTCTGGAAGCTGGCCTATTGTTGTTAGTTCATCTTTATTCAGAAGTACCGGGACCATGGTGTTTTAATTTTCATTTTCCCATGAGTTACGTTTGGGTGTGTGCTACAGCATGCATTAACTTTTTGAAGAATTTTATTTCCAACAAATGAGGAAGATGTTCAGCACTTTAGTCGTTATAAATTCATTTAATGTGAAACCGTATCCTAGAAAGATAGGTGCTTTCAGAGGAAGTGTTTTTTGTGTGTGTTTTGCTTTGCTTTTTAAGGCTTCTTTGTAACTTATGAGACATTATTCTATTTGTGTGAAAAAGGAAATAAGAACAGATATTTGAAATTGTTCAAGTCTTAAACAAATTTTCCATGAGTTTGATCCACTCTGAAGTGTTCAGGCCTTGGGGGTATCAGGACCACTGCACAGTGAGCGCCCCATCCTGCCTCATGCCCCTGAGCTGTAGATGACAGAGTGTGATGTGTGATGGTGTCAGAGCAGCCAGGCCCAAGCTGGGAGACCCACCAGGCTGAGCGCCCAGACGTGCCAGCCCTAAACATTTGTTACGGAGGCAGTTTCCCTGCTAATCGGTGCTGGGTTTCAGAAATTTCATTTTTAAAATTTCCATTCAATAATCACACATAGCCCGTCTAGTGTGGTTCAGTGGTTGAGAATCAACCTATGAACCAGGAGGACACGGTTTGATTCCTTGTCAGGGAACATGCCTGGGGTTGCAGGCTCGATCCCCAGTAGGGGGCATGCAGGAGGCAGCCGATTGATGACTCTCTCATCCTTCATGTTTCTATCTCTCTCCCCCTCTCCCTTCCTTTCTCTGAAATCAATAAAAAAAACCAACATTTAATATATATATAATTAAAAATCACACATATGTCAACTTAATAAGTTCAGCCCATCCAAATACAAAGACAGAATGTGGCAAGCAGGTAATGCCAATGAAGTGGACTAAATTCATGACAATATTAAAAATGTAAAGCAGGGGTCCTCAAACTTTTTAAACAGGGGGCCAGTTCACTGTCCCTCAGACCGTTGGAGGGCCGGACTATAGTTTTTTAAAAAAACTATGAACAAATTCCTATGCACACTGCACATATCTTATTTTGAAGTTAAAAAACAAAACGGGAGCAAATACAATATTTGTATTTGCATGTGGCCTGCGGGCCGTAGTTGAGGACCCCTGAGTAAAGCAAAGGAAAAAAGTCTTGAGATGCACTTCTACTTCAGACTGAGTTTGGCGGAACTTCTGACAGTGTGATAAGCAGCACATCCTTTGAGAAATATCATTGCAAGTTGCTTTTGGTTTTGGTAGATGTTCTGGGAAGTTTGAGAATACTTTTTATAAAGAGTTTTGTTTTTTTAAAGAGATAGGTATAAGAACAAGATAAATCCATATAGTAAAAAAAATGGTTTTTGTTTGTTCATCTTAATAAAGCATGACCTAATTTAATAAAATTATAAAAGTATATGTGCAATCTTTAATGATCAATACATGCTTTGTTAATAAAAGCACAGATTTGATCTTAACCAGGTCAATATTCTATTATATTTTTTTACTCTGCATTGCTTTAAAACTGCCCTTAATTGCTCCCCATTCTCTGAATTTCTTTATCCCTGAGGAGCCTTGCACACAGATATTTTATTCAAAATTGCAGTGTTCCCTATGGTTTTTTATGGGTAAGCTTACATTCTACAACTAAATAGCCAAAGAGCAGAGAACGAGCTTAAGATAGGAAATATTATTGGCAGTGAAACAACTACTAAGCAAACATAGTCTGCAAGAACTAAGAGCTTTTACTTTGCAAAAAATATCACTCTTAAATTCTCTGTTTATCAACGCTGAGATGAAGGACTTGTCACTTTGGAAAATAGTTAAGTCCTTGGTAATGTTGCTTGTTTAGTTTATTTCTAAATGTAAAAGACAGTGGAGAAGAGCATAGTTGGGGAGACGATGTCCAAATCAGGGTAGGACAGGTGAGGGGGTGAAGAGGGAACTCTGGTGGAGGAACCCTGAACACGAGAGATTGGGTGCTGCAATGAAGTCAGGGGAAGAGCCGGAGACTCTGAGCTCCACATAAGTATCAGCAAAGTACCCTCTCTGGCTGGTGAGCCACAGGGTCAAATAAAAAAACAGTATTCTCCCTTTCTACAGGGGTAAGCTGTGTAGTTTCAAATACAGACACCACTTTTTCTACTCCGTACAACCTTCTAACTTGGTCCTCAGTCCCATCCTACTTGTTCAGCTGAACCTAAAATAGCAAGCCACCCTTTAATTCCTTTTTCCTCCTCTATATTGTCTCTAAGGAAAAGCTTAGCTTTAGTGAAAGGTTTTAAAGGGCAACCCTTGGGCCACAGTGAAGAAGAGAATAATACTGACAAAGATGGGAAAATACAAAATGCATAGTTGTTGGTTGTAACTCAGTACTTGTTTTGTCAGTGTGGTAAAGCAGAAGCGGTCACCAGGTCACCAGGCTGGATGTGGAGGATGCCAGGAGAAGACTTTGAAACAGCGAGATCATTTGCTGCTGTTTCCATAGAAACCCACATCCCTTGGCCAGCTAGCGGCGATGACCATGGCCATTAGCCCGCAAGCTAACTTCACACCATTCCCATCTCTTCTTTTACAATATGTATCTGTTGGATTATGTCTTGGAGCCCATTTTCTGAATAACAAGTAAATTAGAGCTAATAATATTAGTAATTTGACTGAAAATTGAAGAACTCTCACTTGTAACCAACAGCCTCCCTACCTGTCCAGATTATTACTCAATTTATCCCTCTTCCTTCTATTAGGAAAACCAAACCAAATCAAACCAAACCAAAACCACACGAACACCGTTCCACTGAGGAAACTGTACTATCCTCTTAGTCCTCACCTATTGCTTTCCTGGTCACTTACTCACTAAAGGGAGGCATTATCATTGCTTCACTTCCTCTTCTCCATTCCTTCTCTGTCTTCATTGTCAGAGTCTTGATTACCCACGTGGATGGCCCAGCCAACACCTGGTCTCTTAGCATGACTTCCTCATCTATATCATGGGTAACAGTGCTGAGTGCATAGTCTTGCTTCTGTGCTTAGTATTTGCATGGTGTACTTTAGGCAACTCACTTAATACCCCTATTTCCCAGTATCAACCAAATAAAACGAAAATGATACCAAGAAGAAAAAAATGAGCAATCACACATGCATTTTGGCCATTTTTATACCTAGAGGTCTTCATATCTGCAAATTATTTTACATAATTTACAGGGAGAAGTGTATGACGGACAGAAAAATTGACAAATGTTTGCTTTGATCCCTGTGTAGTGCCTGGTCTCTGCATATACTTTGGAGAAAGTATACATGTTTCCTTCTTGGAAAGTGGATTTTAGACACAAAATTTAAACTAGCCGGAATC